GGTGCTGCTTTACATCCTTCTGAATCATGCAAGCCAGGACACCTTGTAATGCCTAAAAATCCTATTTAATATATTTTGGCAAGCCGAACAATGGGATTCCCAGCTTGATGAGAAGAAGTCATACTCTGTTTTCAAAGAGCTGCAAACACTTTATAACTCAACCACATGGGAACACAATGAATGAAGGAAGGAAAAAACATGTTTTGACATTCCTACTTTGCAAAAAATGCACTTTTTTAGCTGATTGAAAGAGTACATTCTGCAGCTAGCCAGAATTTTAAGAAATTGAAAGAATTGAATTAAAAATAATTAAGCATTTTAATACATGCTGCATGGTTAAAGCACCTGCATGACGTAATGTGTACTTTAGGATACATTCTTTGGGTGCTATTTTTATGTTGATGTTTCTTTTGTATTAAACTTAAAACCTAATTTGTTTGACACATCATACCTAGTGTTTTGAACTGTTTTGATGTGTGAAAAGTAAAATTATGACCTGGACTCTGAAGCATTCATTTTAGAAAAGTTATCCATAAAATTTTCATTTGCATGAGAATATGGTATAACACTATCACATTGCTCCATTTCCTAAAGATGTGTTATGCTGGTTTGCTATTTTCTGCTTTTGTAATTAAGAGTGCATGTTTATTTGTGATCTTCATAGCACAGACTAGACAAAAATGTTGAGTAGTTCCCAAGCAAATTTTTTAACTAATTTCAGTTTGAATGATATATAGGTTCTGCTCAAACATCTTGTTCATAAGATACTAACATAGCTCTAATATGTATTATATATTGTGTTCAATTTGATTTTAAAATGCCAAATACACAATAAATAAACAAAAGGGATTGTTGTCAATTTGTTTGACAAGTCTTCAGAATGTATTTACTCGTATAAAATGCAGCTCTATTTGAAGTTAATATGTAAATGAAACATATATGCTTTCTCATTCTCAACTAATCGAGTCATTCTTTGATTTGTACTTTTATTCATTGTCTAATTTTGTTTTTAAATCTTTAAAAGTATTTATTTAAATCAAAATTCTCTTTAAAGCAAATACTGGCTCTAATTCACTTTTTTAACCCTAATCCTACTGCACTAGACATTCCCTCCAGTGTTTGACTTTCATGCCAAATAATTGCATAATTTAATCCATGTGTTCGGAATTGGATGTTTAGAAAGGGACTTCGTTAAATCTACAAAGCATGAAAAATAAATTTAAATAAGATGTTCCATTGGCTTTTTGAAGGATTTTTAATCCTATTATAGACCATTCATCCTTTCAAAGTATTTAATTTATCATTCCTCTTTAAGGCCACAAAGTTTTAAAACTGCTTTTGTAGATGTAACTTTTAATAAGTAATTTGTGCAAAAAACAAAGATATTTGAATTCAGATTCATTTTCTTTTGCAATCTTAATGCAACAATTGTCTACTTAACTATTGATTAACCCCTGATTATCACAGGTAATTATAAAACTGGAAAAAATTTATCTTTGGATACAGCAATTGAAATATTGTTCAAATTTTATTTGATACGCTTCTGATTATTGGGTTTCCTGTTAAAACATTTCACACTTAGAATGAAGTAATAGATTAAACAGGAACAAAGAAAATTCACCATCACACAGCAATCTCTAGCTAAATAATTGTAAAGGGAACCTAGCCTTAGACATAGCCAACTTTCCCAACATCAAGCTCCTCAGTGGTTGTCTGACTTCTACCCCTTACCCCTCCTCCATTTAACACCCTTCTTGCCTTAATTTGTGGGGAAACAAAATGTGGTACAGTGATGAGCTAATTTCCAGATAATTTTGATCAGTCTTTCAGAGCTAATGGATTATTTGCAAAGTAGTTGAACATGAATGTTTTGCTACCAAAGTACTTTGTCTTTTGTGCAGCTGTATACTAAACAATCTGTTCCTATCATTATACTCCAGAAAGCTGATGGTCAATACCAATGTGGCCTTTTAAACATTTTATTTAAAAAAAACTATGAACATTTGATAGTTGAAGCTGACAAAGAGATTGTTACAACTCCCTAAGAGAGATTCTATTTTTTTCCTGTAACTGAAAGTTTTATTCATTTGAACATCTTAATTTCTTGTTATGGACTTTACCTGTTTCAAGGTTTTAATCTGTTGTGCATGAAATGTTAAATGTAAAAGGTATTGTTTCCCATTTAAGGGAAAATCTATTGTTTTCTTAAAAATGAAACACTAATTATAGGCAAGAATGACAGTATTTTGTGGTCAAAATAATGCATATTGTAAAATTGTAAGCTTATAATTGCTAATAAAGTGCCTATGTTAATCAATATGAACTACTGTATTTAATTTCTGCTTGTGATAACACCAAAGTAAATCGAGCCAGCTAAAAGTTGAAGGAAAGCTATTAAAACTACTGGTTCTGGTTGCAGGTGTAATATGATATCTATCAGCTGCTGAATCAGAATCTGTGCATCCCGTTTGACCTTGCACAGAGCTTCTGATCCCTTATTTTCTATCTCCCAGATTGTCTTTTTGTATCATTGCCCATTTCTTCCCCATTTTCAGCTTATTTGCCATGACTCACATCTATAACTTTTGCTGCTCTGACACTCCACTATTCCAGTGCTGTCCACCCTCCATCAGCTTGGGCTTTTTACAGAAACAACTGTACAAAGGGTGCTATATGAACAAACAATTAGACAAAAAAAAACCGACAGAGTTAAAGGAGAAAGTAGGACAGGTGACCAAGAGTTTTGTCAAAGCTTGTGTTTGTATTTGCATTTGCAACTTTGACTTTTGTGCCTCACTTTGAAAGCCTCCAGTCTTCATTATCAGCTTTTTTTTTGTCATGTGTATATACTATTGCTGTGGCTGTCTACAGTCCACTCCTACCATTTAATGGTAGTGTATTTTTTTTTACTGAATTGTTTTTTAAGACATTGGTTAATAGTAATCAGCATTCAATTATGAGCAGTTTTAGGATCACAGCTATTCATGTTACACATTAACGACTTGGACACAGTAAGGACTGCAGACGTTGGAAGCTAGAGTCAGTGAATGTGGAGCTGGAAAAGCACAGCAAGTCAGACAGCATCCGAGGAGCCGGAAAGTCAAAGTTTTAGGCCGAAACCCTTCGTCTGGCTCCTAACAAAGGGTTTTAGCCCAAAATGTTCCTGCTCCTGGGATGCTGTCTGACTTGCTGTGCTTTCTCAGTTCCACATTTATTGACTTATACTTTAATGATCAGGACAATGAAACCGAGGGCATTTTGCTAAGTTTACAGATGATACAAAGGTGGAGGGACAGGTAGTGTTGCGGAAGTGGGGAGGCTGTAGAAGGACTTGGATAGGGTACGAGAATAGGCAAAGAAATGGCAGATGGCAAGCAATGTGGGAAAGTGTGAGGTTATGTACTTTTGGTGGGAATATAAGCATAGACTGTTTTCTAACTGGGGAAAGGTTTTTGGAAATCTGAAGCACAAGGACTTGAGAGTCTTATTTCAGGATTCTAAGGTTTAAAAAGCAGTTGACACCCAGGAAGGCAAATGCAATATTAGGATTCATTTCAAGAGGGCTAGAAGACAAGCAAGGATATACTGCTGAGGCTGTACATGGTTCTGGTCAGACTGTATTTGGAATACTATGAACAGTTTTAGGCTCTGAATCTAAGGAAAAATGTGCTAGTGTTGGCTGGGATCCAGAGGAGGTTCACAAGAATGATCCCAGGAACGAAGGGCTTGTCATATGAGAAGTGGGTGAGGACTGAGTCTGGGGTGAAGGGTGAGGGGAGAATCAGAATACGGAGAGGCATAGAGATGTTTCTACTCGTAAGAGAGATTAGGACCTGAGGTCATGAAAAGGCTGAAATGAGGAATTTCTTCAGCCAGAGGGTGGTGAATCTGGAGAATTGCCACAGAAGGCTAGAGGCCAAGTCATTGAGTTTTTAATATATAGATAGATTCTTGGCGAGTAAGGGAATATGGTTATGCGGAGAATGGGGTAGAAAAACGTCACCATAATTGACTAGTGGAGCAGACTTGCTGGGACAAATTCTGCTTCTGTACCTTATTACCTGATGATGGAACTTAATTAAAAATAATCATGAGTTCAAGAAATGTGTTCATGATTCTAATCGTACAGGAATGGTAGAGACACTTAGTAATGAATTAAGAACATAAGTAGTGTATATCTATTCACAACCTGATATGCTCAGTACTCTTCTGGTACTTAAGACTCCCTCTGTCCACTCTGAATACAGGCTGTTGTCGTTACTGGTAAGTCACACCTACTCCAGCAATGTCGTAACATATCTAAACAGAATTTTTAAACGCCCATTGCTGCATCTTCCCAGATATAACTAGCATAAATGATGTACATTCTCACGCTGTAGCCGTATTGATCCGCAAGGCTGCAGGCGCTTTCAAACATGGCTGTGGGACTGCCGGCCCCGAGCTGCTTGAGGGAGAGCAAACTGGGCTAGCATCGCTAGACCAGCAGTTGAAAGCTGAAGAGTGGAAAAGAAAAATCATGGTCCGAAGTTAAATGAAACGTTTAATTTACCCCCCCCCCCCCGGAACTAATGGTTTCGGCGAAACACATACGAGTTTCGTATGAAAAACTCAGCCGGAAATTAAAACGGGGCAGATTCCATGAGACGATCTGACGTCAGAGGCTGCCTTGTCTGCGTGCTTTTACGCCACATTTTTATATTTTTCGTCACTAAAACATGTCCTGCTGTAATATTGTTCGAAAACTGCTCGAAGCCTCTTTTCCCACCCCCAACAAACAAACGCAAACGGCCTATCCGCCTCTTATCAACGCGGCGCTTACGGCGAGACCTCCACCTGGAAACTACTTTCTCCTGAACTTTCCTCTCCCTGCTCATCCGAACTTGTGGTGGGGGAGCCCTGATTGACGGTTCAAATAGCCAATCGGAGTCGCGGTTGTCCCTAGCAACGCTCCAAAGCGGTGGAGATTTCAGAAGAATGGACCAATACGCGCGGAGAGTTCCGCTAAGCCAGCAAGTTCGGTGGAGTCTGGCGGTCGGCGGGTAATGCGCATGCGCAAAGGAGTTGCCCTGGTGCTGGATTGGAAATAGGTTTAGAAAAAAAATCCCAGCGGTGATATAAAAAAACAGCAAGAGAGGGAGACAGAAATGAGGGAAGAAGCTGCTGTAACCCTGGCCTAGAAAAAGGTACTAAGTGTTTCTCACCTCTGAGAACAGAGCGGTGAAAGAGAGAGGCTGGTTTTTCGATGTTGCTCTCTGGGGATTTGTGTATTTTTGTCCTAAGAATTACTTAGGATTAGGCTCGGTAGTGTTTGGCTAGGCCTCCATGGACTCTTGCCGCTTTTAAATGAACTAAATCCTGTTCCCTCTGCCTCTGGCGCTGTATCCCCTGCTTCAGAGAAGCTTTCAGTTTGTTGCTTTAGATGTGACTGGAAACACCGACGTCCATGTCAGATGCAACACTTTAAAACACTATAAGGGACTCTTCTTTTTTCCTCTCTTCTATTTTGTAAATGGAATTTTTAATTGATTTTACCAAGTTGCTCAAGTCCAGGCCATCGACGGTGCAAAAGCGTTTGCCAATATAGACGTAGGAGAATTTGCACATCGAATTGTACCAAGTTGAGTACTGTATTTCGGGTGGTGGCTGTGTTTGTTGGGTGAGCTTACCATGAAACCACCAGATGAATGAATTCCATGTTCGATCCAGCTAAAGCGACTGCATTAGCGCTTGGTACATTTTGTCTGTATCTATTAAACGTTTATTGTCTTTTGGTAATTTTTTTAAAAATCTAGTTAACATTCATAGAGGGTACCATGGATGGAATAACACCTGTATAAGGCATTACAGTTGTTACTCAACCTTGCAGTACTCTCATTTGACTGTATTTGTTACCATTTTCCTTTCTACAACAGCCCTCCCCTAATTCCTTCCAATCAACAACAAAGCAAGCCCTCTGTAACAGATAGAAATACCTATGGTTCCTCTTGGACAATGGCTAATTATCGATTTTCTGCTTGGTACAATGCCATAGCATGTCAAAATGGCTTAATGGCTAATGTCATCTTTGGTCTGCCTTCTAAAGGCATTGGTTTAAAGTTTTGAGGTATGAAATACACTTTAGATTTGAAGTTACTGGTCAATATATTAAGAGCAAATCTGAACTGCTAAATTTCCAGAGCAAGCAATAACCTTTTTTTAAAAGACATTTGAACTTTCAGTTAATAGTTGAAACATTGACAAGTTTGCATATTTTAAGGCTTCTACTGTAACAAAAGACTAAATACATTCTTTTTTGTTTAGGACATTGTAAAAGCCAAAAAGGACAAAAGCAAAAGCACACTTTCCATTTACATTATATTGAACTTTAAGTAGGCATTCACTTGTTTGGAGCCAGTCCAAGTTAGTATTTATTTCTGTACTTTTCCTGAGCTGAAAAGTTCTCAGGCTCTGAACTGCCTTTCACAGTGAGGTTTTTCCCTTGGAGGTTCTTCATCATCCAGCTGGGTAAATCTTCACGCTTTGAACTCCTCATGAATTCAGTCTGTAATCTCAGGATGAGCTTTCACATACATTTACTATGTGGTGAACCATAACAGCTTTCTGGTGGCTGGTTTCACTCTCCTGATAGACTAGCCATGTCAAGAGCTTTCAGGAATAACTTGGACCCTTCCCCTGTTGAAGCCTATTTCCATTTAGACACACATCATGTTGGGCTTGAATCAAGTTAGAAGTGCTGATTATCTGTTCTTAACACTCTTAATTTTCTGCAATAGGGTCGTAGAGATTTATAGCATGGAAACAGACCCTTTGTCTCAACCTATCCATGCTGCCCAGTCTTTTAACAATTAAACTGGTCCCATTTGTCTCCATTTGGTCCATATCCTTCCATGCCTATCCAATCCATCCATGCGCCTGTCTAAATGTTTCTTGAATGACGAAACTGTACTTGTCTCCGCCACTACCTCTGGCAGGCCATTCCAGATACTCACCACCTGCTGTATGGAAAAAATTGCCCGTCTGGACCCTTTTGTATCTCTCTCTTCTCACCTTAAACCTATGCCCTCTGGTTTTAGACACCCATTCCGATAGGGAAAAGCTGTTGGCTTATCTATTTTATAGACTTCTGTAAGGTCACCCGTCTTCAATATAAATATACAGTGTAATGCATATCTGCTTACAACCTGATATGCTCATACTTTTTTGGGACTTAAGCCTCCCTCTATCCACTCTCTGAAAACAGGCCAACGCCGCTATCTCCAAGTCCCACCTACACCAAAAGTGTCATAACATCTCTATAGACAGTTTTTAAAAACACATTGCTGCATTTTACTGGGAAAATACTGCAATGAGGGCTCCCCTTAATGTCTCCCAGTCAAACTGCTTGCTATCAGCTGATTTCAGATCAGATCATATGGCCCCTTCATTTTACCTTAAGTTTAAGGCAGTCTCAAAACACGACAATCTTAGAGACTTCAATTGTAAGTGAATGTAAATTGAATTATGCCCAAACCATAATATCAATAAGTAGAGCTTTGCTTGATAGTTGCAATGCTTGACTACTACCTTATTTGTTTATTTAATTTTAATTAAATGCGCTCACATTGCATTAAGGTTAATGCGTGTTTTTGAACGCAAATTGTAGAGTTGTGCTGGTGCTATATACTGGAAAGCTGTAGCTTTAAATGGTACAGCTGTAAGGGCAGATTGTTGATACTAATGTATCCTATTATGAATGTAAATGGAAAGGAGTGGGAGGGGTGAGGGATGGAGAATATCAACCAAATACATTTCTAAGTATGTTTCATAGTTGCCTCTGCTGCTTTGGTGGGTGGGGGGAAACAAACTCTGCATCTCCATTTGTAAAATGAAGTTTGAAATATTGTAGTGAATTGATCTTCAGTTGCAACGCAGCTTGAATGTGATTTACTTTTGAGAATTCTTCTTAGCAAAATCAACTGGTCTTACGGGATGATGGCCATTATTTTATTTTCTGGTACGTCCAAACAATGGTGGACATTTTGGTTGAATATCCTATCTAAAAGATGACTGTATACTACTTGAGTATTGTTTACACTTGAGATTTTTGCTACTGTATGACTTAATATAAATTTGTGAATAGTATTCACAGTACATCGAAGTTGCATGTTATCACTAAATCTCTAGTTTGGCTCTTGGAGCTGATTGTTGGGATCTGAATAATCTCATGTATCCAGGACTTTGAAGCTAGCAGTAGCCCTTTTGTGTGGTTTGTAAAAATTGGATTTTACCTCTTTGAGGCCTGATTATTTTGAGAATTTATCTCATGACTGTCCCGTTTCTTTTTCTTCATCTTTTCCTGGATCATTTTTAACTTTACTGCAAGGCATTTCGGAAGTGTTGGACGTTGACTGTTCTACTCTTCCAACATATCCTACTAAATGCATAGTCTGGTGCATTTTGAGCACATTTTTAATATTGGGCTATCTGTTCTAAGATGTAGTCTGAACTTCTGTAAATACGAATGCAAAGTTATACTATTAGCTTAGTTTGTAGTATTTTGAACCTTTGACATGAATCTTTGATTTTTAACAATGTTTTAATATGCCTTTCTTTGATTAATTTTATTGCTGACAAACCAATTGCATCGTGGTTTTATAAGGTTTTTGAGTAGATTTGTAGCTCGGGTTGTGGATGTTGTGGTTGGTTGGCTCACCGAGCTGGTTCATTGTTCCGCAGATGTTTCGTTACCCTGCTGGGTAACGTCATCAGTGCAGCCTCTGATGAAGCACTGTTGTGTTTTCCCGCCTGGTATTTAAACTCAGGTGTCCGTTGAGTTGGATTACGTCACTTCCAGTTTTCCTTTGCAGTGGAGTATATATAGGATCTGGCTGTATGTGTTTGTTGATGGCTTCACCGTTTTGTGGTGGTTTTGTGCTTGTGACTGTATTGGAGTAAAGATAAAGTAGTCATGGTCATACCAGACTATAGGATTGCACTCTCAGTCAAGAGAAAGACAACCGATGGTGGTTTAACCCAAGAGTCGACATGCCTTAGGTAAGGAGACAGGTTGAGAAGGAGAGTCCTTCATAATAACCTCAGCATTGCAGGAACTGAACCCATACTGTTGGCATCACAAGTCAGCTGTTCAGCACACTGAACTAACCAACTCCCTGGATTGGAGCAAATCACTTAATACACACAATCGATACATTTTCAAATTTAACTCAAAATACTTTGTTACACCATGTATTCTGAGGGCAATATTTTGACTGCTCACTTAAAATGGATTTTGTATTTGTATTTGTGTTATGCTTACTTATTCGGTGGCATTTTTTAAAAAAACTGCTCAGCTCTCAAGTTATGCCAGTTCATTCCTATAGTTTATTTGTTAGAAGCAAGGATCCTGCCAAAAATTTCTATGTTCAGGAGGTTTGCTAACTTCTTTATTGCAAACCCTGTGTTCCTTAGACCCGTATAATTTTATGTTTTACTTTAGTGGAAAGTACTTGATGCAGATGGAGACTGGGAAATGTCCTGACAAGTTATTTGTTAATAGTTAGTCTTTTAGACAGGACATTACTGATCCTAAAAGGAACTAGATAGACTAATACTGTAATTCATTGGTGTTTTGTGTGAATAACTATAACTCAAGTTATGTTAGTCTTTTGATGTGCAAAGAGTTTTAAATTATCTTTAACTGAATTCTTTAACGAGGCAAAAGGAAGAAAGTTACAGAATTGACTATTTGGTTGTATTCAAATATGAAACTATTGTGATATTAAATTGCAGCAGAATTCAATTATAGGGAGTACTGGTAGGGTGGTGGAAGAAGTAGGGCATGTTTAATAAGTTTGTCATCAATGCTGTGTTTCCCAGACGTATTTTGGTATTTCTGCAATATCGAAAATTGCAACACACTCTCAATTGTTAGGCGATTAATTTTGACAACCTCAAATTTGGGGGGACAAATTGTGAAGTTAACTTGGAAATTTGTTGTGGCGATCTGACTATTGATCATCTCTGCTAACAGTTTATATTGTGCAATCATGTATTCAAGTGTTTAAATTTCTGCATGGAGTCAATGGCTACATGCCAAACCTGAGAGCATTGTTATGTGCAATAACTCGCATATACCCAAGAAAAACTTAGTGTGCCTGGTTTTGTCAATGTTTTCAATGTTAAAACATTCGTACTTAATTGCATT